ATTGACTCTGCTGACCTGCTGTGTTCCTCCAGCTCCACACCGTATTGGCTATTCTGACCTGCTGTGTTCCTCCAGCTCCACACCGTATTGACTATGCTGACCTGCTGTGTTCCTCCAGCTCCACACCGTATTGACTATGCTGACCTGCTGTGTTCCTCCAGCTCCACACCATATTGACTATGCTGACCTGCTGTGTTCCTCCAGCTCCCATCTGTATTGACTATGCTGACCTGCTGTGTTCCTCCAGCTCCACACTGCATTGACTTTGACTCCAGCAACTGCAGTTCTTGCTATCTACACCAATAGTGTTCTTAGGAAGGGACTTTCCAGGACTTTGAAGGAGCAATGATATTGGATGACATTTGGCTTGAAGGAGAACTTGCAAATAGTGGTTTGCCCATGTACCTGCTGACCTTTGTCCTTCTTGGTAGTAAGGGTTGCGGGTTTCAGAGATGCTGTTAAAGGAGCCATGGTGAGTTGCTGCATCTTGTAGATGTCACACAGTACTGCCAAGGTGCACTAGTTTGGGAAGGAATTTAACCAGCATCTAGAATGTTAGTTGCAGATTTATTCATGTCAGTCTGGTGAGATATATGTGTTTGATTCTTTTAAGATTCTACTGCTCTGGTGAACTATTCTCAAGTGAGTGGAGGTAGAAATTTTATATCCAACGTTGAGGCCCAGCATGCTGTCTATTAGCAGAAGTGTCTTCCATTCTGAGAATATGTCATATTCAAAACTTCAAAGCAAGCATTGGATTAGAGTCATAGAAACCCTACATTGTGGAAGTAGTATTTTGGCCCATCAAGTCCACACCGACCTTCCAAAGAGCATCCCGCCCTATCCCTATAATTCAGCATTTCCCATGGCTAACCCACCTAGCCTGCACATCCCTGGACACTATGGGCAATTTAGCATGGCCAATCCACCTAACCTGTGCATCTTTGAACTATAGGAGGAAACGGGAGCACCTGAAGGAAGCCCGCACAGACACAGGGAGAATGTGAAAACTCCACACAGACAATTACCCAAGGGTGGAATCGAACCTGGGTCCCTGGTGCTGTGAGCATTGGGTTGGGGGAGAGAGAGTTAGGAGGAAAGATTGACTAACCTGGGAGACCAGCTGAAGTGATATTTTTTCTTTGTCTGAACCTGTTTTGTGATATTTCCATTATTGGTTTGGGATCAGTCTGCCACTGATCATTGAAAACCCTCAAGGTCAAAAGACTTACAATATCCAGAGACCCTTTTTGTCAACCAGTACAAAGTGGAACTAGTTTC